ACTTAATCCTCTGAGCTATATTGCCAGCCCTATGAATTTCAATATTTTAAAGTAAAACTGTCTGTGGGACACAACTGGTTGAATGAATAATGTTGGAAAGCTCCTCGGAAGAAGTGTGCTAAAATAGGTAGAAGTCTATTTGATGACACAATTATGCTAGTCTTGGTTGTAAGGTTTTCCAATAAATTATTTCTTTTTTCTGTGTTTACCTTTATCATCTCTTCTGTATAATACATGGAACCAAAAGGGAAGGAGAAAGTTTGATTCATCTGTAATCTGTACGTAGGAGTCTGTCATGTGGGCTGACTTCCTTGGCTCACTTAGGCCTCAGTTTTTACCTTGGAAAAGTGGGTAACACCCAAATCATGGGACTGTTTGGTCAACCAAATAGAATAACCACTGTACTGAGACTCGGTCCTGTATAGCTTGGTACACATCCTGCACTTAGCGGAACCAGAAACCACAATTTTTTAAGAATCCCCATTTTTATTGGCAATAAGCCTGACATAATTAGAAAAACCACTTACAGCATATAATTTACCATACTACATGTCAAGGTATTTCAAATTCTGTGGTCATCCTTTATCTGCGCTTTCAACTGTCATAGGTCAGGGGTGGAAAACCTTTTAGAGCCCTCAAAGATAACAAACAGCAAGCTGCAGCACAGATGTTGTAGGTTTGTGACTACAGGCCTAGGTCACCCACAGTTATTACGACTGGCGTCACTGATTCCTTGAAGCCTCCTGTGGACAAGGCAGGGCTTTTGCAGAGGTGGCTGGATCTAGAGTGTGTGATGCTGGGCTCAAAGGTGTGGGATTACTAGATTAGTGCACTGATGGGTTCGGCGTAGTTCTGAGTGTACGTAGAGCTGAATATAATATAAGAGACAGAAAGAAGGCAGGTGTGCTTGCTTGTGGCTTCCTCACCACCTTGTGGCCTTGCTGCCTTCTGCGCGCCATGGCCCTTCTGCCCTGCCACTTTGCTTGCAGCCAGCCAGCTAGGCATTGAAGCCTCTACAAACCATGAGCTACAGTAAACCCCTCCACTTTTAACTTTGGATGTCAGGTATCTAGGCTAAGAAACAAGAAAAACCACACAGACAATAGTCCACCTGTTTTAAATGAAAATGTCCAGAAATATACCTAAGTTGTAAGCTATCTACTGGGCTGAGCAGAGCGATGAAATCTCACACAGTCCCGCACAATCTCACTTGGGACCTGATTCCCTCATCAGAGTCTAGCACAGCCCCGAGCTGCATACCACCCCCAGGCATCAGGCACTCAGGGGGCTGGGGCTGCGTCTGGGGCTCGTGTTGGCACAGCCTTTGCTTCCTTAGTGATGGTGCAGGAGCAGTGACGGAGCAGAAATGCTACAGCAAAGCAATGGAGTGGAGCAGCCCACAGGGTCAGCTCGCACATCCACACACTAGAAATCGCTCCGAGCCTTGGTGTCCACATTCAACATCACTGAGCGTCGCACCCTGCTTCTTTCAGCTCACTGCAGCCCCTCTACCCAGAAGCTTTCATTTTCAGTGTGTTTGACGTTGGAAACGATGTCAACAGCAAATTAAAATGGTAAAAGTCTGACTGGCGTTCATGGGCTTCAAAACTGATGACTATTTTAGAAGTATTTTTGTAGTTGATCACACTTCTATTATAAAATAGTCTCTTTATACAAATAGGTTTATGTGTGTATATTTACGCATCATACAGGTTAGAGACAATCACGGCAATATAATGAGCAGCCATGAGTAACCAGTGTAAGAAATGAAACAAAATAAAACGTTTTTCTTTTTTTCTGTTTGAAAATGTGTCAAAAAAAATATATTGGCATTCTCTTTGTCATTGTTATGGCTTGTGTCTAGTTGTCCCCGACATGGGGCAGACTTGTAGAGTTTGTGATTAACTCATGATCCACTAGGATTATGGGTGTGAGTACTGTTGGGATTATGGGTGTGAGTACTACTGGGATTACCAGTGTGAGTGCTACACCCAGCCTGGTGTAGACAGCCTGAATGCAACATGAGGGAGACAGGCTTGCTCCCTGTAGCCAGTGCTGCTGCTGCTCCTCCTTTTTGCTCTTGCTGTTTGGCTGTTCTTCACTACCACAATCTGCTGCCCTCTGCCATGTGACACTCTGCCTTGGAGCCAGCCAAGTATGGACTGAAACCTCTACTAACTGTGAGCTAAATATACCTTTCCTTCCTTAATTCTGGGTGTTGGTCATTATGTTCCAGCAACAAGAGAAGAGTAACTGAGACAGTCCTATATGTACTCTAAAACTTACCATTGCTATGCCCGAAGGATCATGCTTGTAATCCTAGCACTGTGGGGAGGCTCAGACGGGAGAATCAAAAGGTCAAGCTTAGCTTGGGCCATTTAACTACTCAGTGAGACTGGCTGCTGTAGTCTGTGTCTGGATGTCCCCGAAAGCCTCATACAGCCATGTGGTGGGAGGCTTTCATAAGACAGCAGAATCTAGAATTTATGATCGGTTCATTGTCTAATGGTGGGTCTGGGGATGTGAGTGCTACAACTGCCCTAGGGCAGGTAGCCTGCACACAGTGTAAGGGAAAGAGGCCTGCTCCTCCTTTTTTTCTCTTGCTGCTTTTGCTGTCTTCTGCCACTGTGAACTCTTGACCGCTACCATGCGCCACGCTGCCTTGGATCCAGGTGAATGTGGACTGAAACCTTCACAAACTCTGAGCTAAATAAACCTTTCCTTCCTTAATCTGGAGCATCAGGTATTTTGTCTCAGCAACAAGAGACAAGTAACCAAGACATTTTCTCAAAAAAAAAAAAAAAAAAAAAAAAAAAAAAAGCAGGCTGGGACTGTCGCTCGGTGCAGAGGCCTATGTTCCAGTCCTAGTACTTAAAATAGGCAAACACCCTGTTGTTTTCTTCTTAGTGTTTTGAACTTTGTATAAATGGTATCTTTTTTTGCATCATTGGCATTGGTCTGTTGCATGTTTTTCTCAGCACCGTTTGGGTCATTTATCCCCATTTGTGCTTATATAAAGTTTATTTTAGCAAGTGTTTGTAGCTATACAATATGAACAAGCTGAGGTATGCGGGACTCTTTTACTGTTTCCTTCAAATGCTCTTGCTGTCCTGCGCTCATGAGCACTGCTTCCGTGTGCGTCTCGGGCACGACTCCTGATACGCATCGAGCCAAGTTCTCTCTATGGTGATAACAGAAGAAAATCCCTGCGTAACATGGCACTTCCCCCTTTGCCTTTGCTTAGGAGGCCAAATTGTCTGGGAAGTAATTACGTAGATGCACACACACAATTAGTGTCTAAGAAAACCAAAAAGCCTGACGCTGAATTTTGATTGCCAGTGCTGGTTACAGCCGCCTTTTTCACAGGCGCAAAATATGCTTTAATCACCTTCCCCTTGGCCCTCTCTTCACCTGGTTTCACATTTCATGAGGTTTGAATATATATATATATATATATATAATTTGATACAGGGTCTCACTACGCAGTTCAGACTTGTAGTGATCCTCCTGTCTCAGCCTCCCCAGCTCTGGGATTACACACAGGTGCCACCATGCCCAGTTTCAGTGGCTGGCTCAGCACATTCAGAGTTCCGGGACTGGCACGGCATGGGGTTCCAGGGATCAAACTTGAGTCCTTGTGCTTGCCAGGCAGGCACTTGGACTGTTGGAGCTGTTGCTCCAGCCCTGTCACCTATTCTCTTGGTTTGTTACTTCACATCCGGCCAAGTAACAAATCCTATCCATTCTGCTTTCAAAATATCCCCAAGGCCCAGTCTCTTTTGCTGATTCTGCCGCTTATCCGGGGCACTCATCAGCATCATGGTATGCCTAGAGTCATCGGGACACACTCTCCACCATTATTGTTGGTTTGCACTCCCACCTTTCTCCTGGATGATAAACAATAGCCCCCTTGCTGGCCTCCCTGGTTGCAAATCTGCCTCATGTGCAACAGAAAATCTTCAACTCTGCAACCAGATCAACATTTTCAGAACCATTACTCATTTTTCTCCTCAAAATGTTACAGTGAGCTTCCTGTCTCTCTTGGGCTGACCCCATGACCCAGAATCACAGTCCCGTCGACCTCACTGGCCACACCACACCTGTTACCCACTCACCTGCTTCCCTGGCTTCCGTGGTTCTTGTGTACCAGGCAAGCTCTACCTCCCAAATACCTGCTGAGGTTTCCCTGTGTTGGGGAATGTGTTCCCTACCACTCGAGACCCACCCATGGCTTCCTGTTGGGCGTCCTCCATGTATTTATTTAAACAATCAACTCCTCCATGAAGCCCTCCCTGAGCACCTCCTGTAAAGCCACAATCCTGTCTGCTTCCTCTGTTTTCAAGGGCAGGAGCTTTTGGTTCCCTTTGGAGTATCCCTCATTCCTAGACTATAGCACATGAGCACAATGCAGAATAATTGCAGTAATAACAGCCACCTCATACTGCTTGTCACTCTAGATATCTTTGAGCAAATGCTGTAAATAAGCTTATTCAATTCTCTGAAACCCAGTGTTGAAGGAAACTTCCTGTTTTTGTGATTCATAGAGAAAAATAGTGCCAAGTGGAAAACAGTCAACGCAAATAACTATTCTATAATACAGGGGACCAATCAAGGGATGGCGTAATTGGGAAAGCTATTATTCTTAAAAACTGGCTGGACACCTCGGTCAGGGCAGGAAGAGCTGGTGACCTCCGTCTGCAGGGATGATGCACCGGGGCTTACTGAACCACAAGGTCTGGTCACCGAGTCACCGGCCATCCTGCCCAGCCAGATGGCCCCTACCCCTGGATGCACATCTGCAGCCCACCTGGTGCCAACTGAGCAGAATCCTCTTTTAGGGAACAGACAACCCAACTTTTTTATGGATCATCAGAGGGCCAGATTCCAAGCAGCACCCAGAGCTTGTGTGTTAGGGAACAGAAAGAACAACGGAGTGGGTGGGACTCCACAGTGCCAGAGGAGGGCTGGGCCGCAGAGGACCCGGACATGGGGCTCTGTACCTTGCACGGCCAGCTCCTTCCAGCGCTCCTTGTTCTGCTGAATGATGTCCATCAGGTTGTTCTTGAAGCTCTTGAGGTCCACGGCGGCCAGCGAGTAGTCGGGTGAGAGGTTCCCGTCACTCACGGAGCCCTTCATATTCGATCGTCTCATGACATCGGCGATGTGCAGCCCCACAACGGTGGCTGAGCTAATGGACATGACCAAAGGAGCCGAAAGACACTGAAGTCACTAGCTGCACAGAAGTTTGACAAAAGCGGCCAGAGAAGCAGAGAGCAATGCTCGGGCCCAGCTGTGAGCACACCATGGCGGCTGCTCGCCTCCCTGGGCTCCCTCCCCACCAGGTGCACTTAGGGCGCCTTAGCACACCGAAGGTCCTTTTAGACAGACATGTTTCAAACAGTGGACACCTGCTCGCAACGGCAAAGGCAGATGCAACACATGAAGAGACCACTAGGTGGCAGTACTACCTAATAATTCTTGCAAGAATTCCCTGTCCCGCAGTAAAAACAAGAATGATTTTTACTTACATTAAGTCTAAGACTTACTTAAATTAAGTCTAAGATTGTTAAGCATCACAGACATGAAAAATGATGCAAAACAAAAAAGTCTCATACCTGCTTGCCCCATAGTTAGGACTTTCAGCTTTTGAGGCTTCCTCTATAAGAGGGGTAACAATTCTCTCTGTTGAGTCCGTCAGAAGAGAAAATGTTGGCTCTACTATGAAATCAATGAAACCTAAAAAAAAAAAAAGAAAAAAAGAAAAAAAAAAGAAAAAAAGAAAGGAGAAAGAAAGAAAAGAAAAGAAAGAAAAATCAGATAAGAGAGCTAAATTCAAGCGTTACAATATCCTGACTCATGTCGTAAGAGTTAAGGGTTATTGACACATTCCTGGCATAGCCAATATCAACTATAACATTGCTTCTGCTTAACTTTTGTCATTATTTTAATTCAATAATATCTTAATTTTTAGGGTCTATTTAGAAAATAATATGTGAGGCTGTAAAAGTTTACTTTGCTAACTTAAGTATATTGACTTTTTTTTTTTTAATGTATTTAGTGCAGCGTCTACAGCGTGTACAGGGGCTCACAGCGTCTCCTAGTGATCCGCCTGTGCCCAGCCTCCCAAGTGCTGGGCTTCCAGGCTGCGCCACCACGCCCAGTCTCAGTCGACCCGGCCGCTGCGCTCCGCCTAAGCAGGCGCTTTCGTGCGCTGAGCTGTCTGGCCCGCCCGTGGCTTTGCTACCTCATGTTCAGTCTCCGACAGCACTGCTAGCAAAAAAACTCATATTGTATTTCCTCCCTCAGTGAGAAGGATCATCAAGCTTTTAGAAAAGTTTTCTAAACTTTTGGTTGAACTTTATTACTGTCCTCCAAAGAAATCATAGCCAAGCTCCAGAGCAGCTAAAAAATTGCAATTTTCCTCATTGCACCAGAAGGTAAATTTTTTAAATTGTTTTCCAGTGCTTTCTGCTGGTGTGCCAGTGCCTCAAATCGCTGTCCCTCATGTTGTGGAGGTAAAGCATTAGTTCGTAGCCTGTGTGTTTGTGCAGCCAGATCAGCATCTCTGGAGACAGCAGTAATCGCCTGGCTTTGAGACGCCAGGATGGAAAGAAGACCTCTGCATTGACGGTACTCATCAAAATAGGAAATGACACAGAAAGAACAGGGAGCTTTTACTCCGCAGTGTGTAGACAGAGGAGGTGACAGCAAGCACGCAAGCTCCGCGTGCCCCTCAGCACCCCACCGTCGAGGGGCGGGCAGGTGTTGAAATCAAGTGTGTGTCACCTTATACACGGTATCCCGGGAACAGCGAACAGAAGGTGTGGCTTTAGGCCGCAATCACTGGGAAGAATCCACACGTGAAGGCTGTCCATCCAGGTACTCCGTACAGTTAGCATGGCAAGGAGCGGGACTCCCCATAGTAAATACAGAGGCGCATGTCTAATTAAAAATATAACTGCAAGGGGTCACCGGTATAGCTCAGCGGACTAAGCGCTTGCTTAGGTAAGTCCAGGGGCCAGGGTTCGATCCCTGGCACCACACGCCGCACCGGCCCCTACCCCGGGCACCCTGAGTTGGTGACGGAGTCTGGGTGTGGTGGCGCATGCCTGTATTCCCAGCACTAGCTAGGGGGGCAGAAATCAGGGGGATCACTAAGGGTCCGAGCTGCATAGTGAGACCTGGCACAGAAAAAAAACCAAAACAACAACAAAAGCCTTTAAAAAATACAGCTGCAAAAATGGGTTTTAGTTGATAATTTCAAATTAAAGCAATGTTGACTGTCCACCCAGGGTGTTACTTTGAGTTTTGCAAGGGGATTTAATACCGGGGGTGTGTAGAGAGTCTACTAACAGACGTGGCAGCAATTCAGACACAGCGACAAGCCCCGAACGGTCAATCCCTCCCCGCTGGCCGGGTGAGGTCCTCAGCCCTCCGCATGCTTTCGGCACGGCGGCAGGCACCTAGGCTGTGGGCTCTAGACAAATCCTGCCAGGAGCTGGCTGGAGGGGCATGTTGATTGCGCGAGCGGCTCTCCAACTGCGCTGCAGCTGCGCGGTGGGCGCCACTGGAGAAGCGGAGGTGAGGCAGTGACTTTAGGGTCATTGATTTTGTAGCACAGTAAGGTAGGTGCTGCTTCGGGGCAGGGCTTTTACAGATGCGCCAGCCTGCAGTGTGGCAGTCTCGCGTTAAGCACGAGTTGGAGCGGACGTCCGCAGCACAGGTACAGCTGAGAGTGAATGCGTTTGGAAGCAGCATCCTTCTGCCGATTTCATGCGGCTGGCTTATCTATTCCTACCACAGGAACTGTTTTTTTCCAAAAGAATATGAGCTTGTATGTTAAATGTACTATAGAAACTTAAAAATAAAGCACGGGGATGCCATTATTGCCGTTGAATTGTCTTGCGTTAATGGGTCAGCAACAAAACAAAAAATATATAGTTCTTTGTACAAGAAGAAAGACCTTTGTTTTATAAAAGAAAATTACAACCAGAGGAACAATATCACCAACTAATGCTGCTTTTTTGCATTTGTGGAATTATTTCAATATTCACTATTGGGGCAGATCTAGGTCAGTCTAAAGACAAAATTTATCAGGAGAAGGAAGCGGGGTTGGCTGTTGGCTGGCAGCCTTTGAACAGCATGGAGGGCGCGTTCAAAAACTGACAAGGCCACACCCACCTCCCTTGAGCACCGTCCTGGGCCTTACCTATCTGCGATTGGGCCACCATCGTTGACTTCCGATCACAGAGCGGGGAAAAGGGAAGCCCCAGTTCTGCTTCTTTATCTCCCTGGGAAGGAAAATGCCATTAGTACAGACATAGAAGATAATGGGCCCGCAGACACAAGACCTTGAAAGCTGCCTCCTCTGTCTCTTGACAGGCATTATATAAGAACGTGCATATGTGTGAGAGAGAGAATTCATATTTCAGAAAACTGCAGAGCGATTTTGTGATGTGCTGATTTCTGTGTCAATTTCTTATTAATTTGTCAATTTCTTATAAATATATATAGTTAACATATATACTATATATTTATATTATAAAACCCAAGTTTCTCTACCTTTTCTTGGATGGTCCTTTGAAATCCTCTGGGGGAGATCACGAACACTTTTAACACCTGTCAGCTTTGCTTTATTTATCCTTACACCCTTGATTGCAAAGAGACAAACATTTGCTCTTTGGAATTTTCTAGTTATTGTAATAATTTTGGAATACAATTTGGCATTTGACAGTCTAGAGAATGGATTTTTTCTGCTCCTATCTTTCTGTCAAACGGAGCAACAAAACTCCAAAATCAAGATTTTGTGACTAGCTGGGTTTTTTTTTTTTTTCAAAGCAGAGAGGCATAAGAATTTTGAAATATCTTTTGATCATTGTTTTATTAAATCTCTCATAAGAACTAATGAAGACTATCTTCCATATTTTTACATTCTGCATGCACATGTTTAATGCATTCTTCTCAGGGAAAATTGAAATGTCAATTGTTTATTCTTGTCTAAAGTAGATTACTTGAGCACATATGTTAAAGAATTCTGTTTATGTTTGCATTTAACATCATGAAAAGTCATTACATTTTCATCTCCTAAAATATAGGAGGTTGCTCTTGGCAGATTTTTATTCTCACGGTTATCATATCGGTTCCTTCCCTTGCTTACAAGATGATGTGTGGATAGGAGGTATTTCCGTGACCCTGTTCGCCCCAATGTCTGGCTGCTAGGATGGACGAATAAAGCTGTCTTTTCCCGATAGTGGGCTACCTTCATGAGGAAACGTCAGGCCAGGCTCAAGAAGCAAGCAGAGGGTTTCTAGCTCATCTACAATGTTTCCTGTAACATGTTTACCCGATCTTTATAGCATCCTGTCAACAGATTATTTTAACTCTCCTTTTGAGATGTTTCTGGTTTGTTCCAGTTGAGTCATGAGTCTAACTACATGCGGAAAGTTGAAATCACAAATGTTTGGCAAAATCTAAATATGATCACCAAAGCAGGGGCAAAGCAGCTATAAATAGGAATTTTCATGACTTTGAAAACTAGGGAATAAATATTTCTTTCTTTTTTTTTTTTTTTTTTTTTTGGCGGAACCAGGATTGAACTCAGGCCCTTGCGCTTGCCAGGGAAGGGGTTATTCTACTGAGCCATCTCCCTGGCCCCAGGAATAAGAATTTCTATGATCTCTGCAAGCAACTCCCCTAATTAATGATATCAGATTCACTTGGAGTTAATATTTATACCCTGCTTCAGGGCAGAGGGGACAAGGATTGAGGCCATGTTAGCCTCGGAGTCAGCTGAACCAGTGCGGCTCTGCAGGATCTCTTTCTGCAGACAGGCCCCGCTCTGTGCAGAACCAGGTCACACCTGTGGCCTCACTCTGTGGTCCTGGTCTACTCACTTCAGATACAAGGCAGTATCTCCTGATGGCACTGTCTCGGGGTCATCTGGGGTGATCCGTGTGAACTCTAGTGACACACTGCGCTCACAGGACTCATAGTATAACAGCAGCACCATGCAGATGTGTGAAGCAAAGATATTTAAAACACCCAATGCATACGTGGGAAGGCTTTAAACCACAGAAAAGAGGCTCTTACAGTTAATTTAGCATGGGGTACAAAGGCCCTGGTTTTTCTTCTTCTTCTTTTTTTTTTTCTAGCAAGGAATTGACATGACAGGAATTCCACTTTTGAAAATTAATTTGTCAGCAGCAAAAGGGATGGTGCGAGGTGAATTCAGGCTGGCTCTTGTGGCCCCAATCTGAGCCACCGTAAAAGCAAGCGTGTTGGTGCTGCGAACGCATACAAGGGGATTTGAGTTTAAGGATGTTAAGAATAAGGTGCAGTAATATCATTAATAGATAGTAATTAAATAGAATCATTCACAGTTTATGTTAAAATATAATCTTAATGTTGTTAAAATAAGGTTACTGACAGACCTCATGGGAAGTGTGATCCTGAATCTGTGTTTGGAGCTGTCGTTCAGTGACTATTAGATGGCTTATCAAATGCAACAACAAGTTGCATTAAATTGCTTCGAATGCGTTTAGTGTGCTGCTGTCTGTTATTTTATAGACACAAACTTATTAGCGTATTTTTTTATTTTATTTTATTTTTTTTTTTGTGGAACAGAGGATTGAACTCAGGCCCCTGCGCTTGCCAGGCAAGTGCTTATTCTACTGAGCCATCTCCCGGGCCCCCTGTTAGTGTATTTTGATACTGCATGCT